CTAGCAGGGGTGTGGTTTCTCCTTGTGCACTAGCAGGGGTGTGGTTTCTCCTTGTGCACTAGCAGGGGTGTGGTTTCTCCTTGTGCACTAGCAGGGGTGTGGTCTCTCCTTGTGCACTAGCAGGGGTGTGGTCTCTCCTTGTGCACTAGCAGGGGTGTGGTCTCTCCTTGTGCACTAGCAGGGGTGTGGTTGTTTCTCCTTGTGCACTAGCAGGGGTGTGGTTGTTTCTCCTTGTGCACTAGCAGGGGTGTGGTTTCTCCTTGTGTACTAGCAGGGGTGTGGTTTCTCCTTGTGCACTAGCAGGGGTGTGGTTGTTTCTCCTTGTGCACTAGCAGGGGTGTGGTTGTTTCTCCTTGTGCACTAGCAGGGGTGTGGTTGTTTCTCCTTGTGCACTAGCAGGGGTGTGGTTTCTCCTTGTGTACTAGCAGGGGTGTGGTTTCTCCTTGTGCACTAGCAGGGGTGTGGTTTTGCCCGCTGCAGATAGTTTCTTCAGTGTGTGAGTTTTGGAATTCTGGGAAGTTTTGAGAGGCTATGAATATGAGAACCCTGCGAGGGGCTATCTGACTCGCTCCTAGGAGGGTGTTGCTGTTTCCTGTTGCTGTGGTTTGTCAAGTGGACCTGAGGAAAGAGACAACAAGTTGGAACATCCTAACAACTTGCCCCTAGAATCCGACATCCCTAATCAGCAGGAAGTAGTAAGAACCCAATAAAACAGATACAAAAATATGTGCCAACAATATACAAAGCAAGAAGTTGGTGAACAGAGTGATCACTGAGGAAATCAATGCACCTAGACTAAAAGGCATGATCATACAGAAGCTAAACGTAGACTGGATTATATAGTGTATATTCCAGACCGGTTATCAATAGGGTAGATTACCTGGATTAAATATAGGCACAAATCACTACAGAAGCAGCTGTGTGACCTTAACCAGCTTATTCCTCACTTATGAAATGATGACATCAATAGTATTCACCAATATATTGGCTGTTGTATTAAAGATGTTAATACATAAAAACCACTCAAAACAGTGACATCACCTAGTAAACAATATCAATTGCCAGCCATTCTTAGTGTTACTATGATTATTTATTGAAGACCATGTTCTACTGTGGAATTTGGTAGACTTAAGGCATTGTTTTTGCTTGACTAATGTAGAAGGATATAACACAAAATACAAAAAGAGAGAGAAAACTGGCAACCCTCAAGGCCAAAATTTTAGATCAGGACTCTGTTATAGTTCTAGAGACACATCTCTAAAACTGTAAGCAAGCCTCCAATTAAAGGTTTCTTTCATTAGAGTTGCCTTGGTCATGGTGTCTTCTCACAGCAAAACAGAGACTAAGATAGTAAACAAGCATGTCCTCATTAGATGTTGATTTTTATAATACAGACTTACAGACAATACATATGATAAATATAAAAGGTATTTTTAGAAATAAAGTAGCAGCAAGCTAAAGTACAATGAGAATATCTTCCAGTGAAGTGGTTCGAGTCAGATTGCTTGTCTTCTCAGAAATCTTCAAAAGTAATTTAAAGTTGCTGCTTTCATTTGATACTTGCGCTTTTTTATGAAATAGAATCATAAGAGATTCAGTCTAAGGCAGCAGGATTTTTTAACATCGAGTTGCAAAACTGAGTTCTAATAAAGATTGCTGCAAAGCCATAGTAGGCATGGAGCTCTAAGTGCAAGGGTTTCCTTCTACAGACTTTAACTCGACAACACTCACCTTAAGGAGATGCTGTATTCGGGATAAAAGATGCTTGTGTACTGGACCCACACACCAGCCTCTTTTTCAGTTCCCCTTTTTTTGGCTTCTGTGACTGAGAACAGATTAAATGATTCAAATCTTCTCACAGATACATGTCTCAGACCATCATCCAGCTGTTTCTGCTTCAGAACCTTTAAAATAAAACCAAATATTAGGGTTATATTATACAAGTGGTATAAGCTTTTGTTTCCAGTTTTTAAGTGATAAGGAAACTCTCACTTCCAATGATACTGGATTAGATTATTCAGACTAATTTCCTGCTGAACACACAGAGAAAAAATGGACAAAACACTTAAGAGTATAATTGAGTAGTGAAGGTAGTAACCGTTTAACAGTCTGATGCCTTAAGTAGGAAAAAAATCTCGAGTTAACAAGGTTTTCATATCCACTTTTCTCCTGGGCATTTGTCAATCAGAGGAAGTGAAGACAAGCAACACCTTTAACAGCCAGAACTAGTGCAGTATGTTATTATTAGGTTCTGTGTGTGTGCAAGTGCACATTTGCATTTGTGTATACATGTGTGTGTGCATATTCATGTGTGTGCATTCACAGCATATGTACACTGCTTATGTGTATATGTACCTGTGTGTGTGACATATTTATGCTTGTGTGTATGCACATGTATGTGTGCTTGTGTAGCTGTGTGTGTGTGTGCATGTGTGTACATGTATTTATTTGTTTTAGGATAAATTAAATGACTGGTTTGTATTAGTTTCCCACATTTGGAGAAAAGAGATAGAGCTAGAAGATTAAAGAGTGTTAGCAAAAACCCTACAGTTAGTTCTATATCCAAATAGAGTATTATATAAACTAATGGAGACTTATAGTTTCTGACTTACATTTTTAAAACTACACACACACACACGCACACACACGACCATCATTGAAGAGTTCAATGATCAAACTTGGAGAAATGGCAGGAATTGTACAAGATGAGCCTGGAATATATGGGTGGATGGGGATGGGTGTGAGTGTAGAACCATGAGTATTCCCTATGCATATAGCCAAGAGCCTAGATGTCTAACTGACACCACATCCTCCGCACTCCTCATCCCCACACGTATAACCAGAAGTCTCCAGTTTGGGAAAACACAAAGAGAAGCTGTTCCAACATCCTGTTTCCTTCCTTTGCACCTTGCACTTTCTACTTTTTCACCACACCCTCTAGCAAAATTTTATGATTATTTTTATTTCTTATTATGCTTCATATACTCATACTAATCAATTTCAGTATCTTTATATAATTTGATTCTACAGCTGTTATAATAACTTGTTTTCTCCTCGTAGAATAGTATAAAGATTGAGCCTCAGGAGTAGGCTGTTCAGTAAGATCTCTAAGCCAAACTGGAAGAGATAGTCAAAGCAACATCTACAGATTACATCATAGAAACATCAAAAATATGAAAAGACAAGGAAATGTGACATCTCTAAAAGATTGTAATCCCTCACTGAGTTCAAAGATACTGAAGTAGATAAAGTGTTGGATGAAGATTTCAAAAGTTTACCAGTAAAAATGATAGTCATATCAAAGAAGACACAAGCAGAAAAATTCAATCCAGGATCTGGAAGAGATTTGCCAATGCAAAGGGAAATAGCCAATAAAAATCAGCAATATGATGAAAACGGTGTCAGCACAGGGACAAATTCTGGAAAAATATATATTCCGTGTGTGTGTGTGTGTGTGTGTGTGTGTGTGTGTGCGCGCGCGCGCGCGTGCGTTGGGAGCCCACTCTGAGCAGAAAGCGGCTATCATCTTTGCAGCCATCTCAGACCATATACCCTGACAAGAGACTTATTTTCAACAGCCTGAAACAGCTGAGCACACTCTGATAAACATCTTGTTTTTCTTACATATCTTGTTTTGTTGTTTAATGCCCCCAGCTGCAAGGCGCACGTGGTAAAGTGTCTTCAGCTGTGGTCCCCTGCTTCTGCTTATGTATACCCAGGATTTCTTTTCAATAAACGGGACTTGAACAGACTCTCTGTCTTGTCTCCATTCTTCGCGTCTCTTGCCCTTCCATCCCCACTCTCTCTCTTGCTAGACCCTGACCCAAGGACCGGAGTAGAAGCTTGGGCTGTTACAAAGTGGCCCCCAAACATAGGGCAGAACGGGCTGTTACGTGTGTGTGTGTGTGTGTGTGTGTGTGTGTGTATGTGTGTATGAAGTCACAGTAGAAATTAAAATATTACTAGAAATAATTCAAATTGCAAGCGTTATCGCTAGAACCTTGAGATAACAGCTAAAGCAGCTATAGGTGCTTACATTAAAAACAAACAAAAGTGTACTGGCACACACCTTTAATCCCACTTCTTGGGAGGCAGAGGCTGACAGATCTCTGTGAGTTTGAGGCCAGCATGGTCTACATAGGTAGCTCCAGGACAGCTAGAGCTACATAGTGAAACCCTGTCTCAAAAAACTAAGGGGCCCGAGCATAGAGCAGGTCTCAGGCGGCAGCTCTGTACCCAACATCAGAAAACCGAGAGAAAGAGGGCCTCCCAGGAGCTTTAACTCAGGCAGCATCCCAGGTAAAAATGAATCATCCGTGATGTCTGCTGTTAGAAGTTCTAATCCAGATGGTGGCCTCCGAACTTATACTACTCAGACCTTTGAAGGGCCACTGACAAGAACATCAAACAGCTAGAGATTGACATCACTAATCTGAAGAAATCTCTCGTTTCGCTGTCTGAAGAGACCTCCTAAAATCACAAAGATCCTTATTGGACTTGATTTACTCTATTACAATAGAAAAGGCTGTGTACAGCTCTTGACTGTGTACAGCCCTTAAAGAAGAAGGTTGCCTTTACATAGACAAGACAAGGAGGGTTAAAGAGAGCATGAAACAGGTAGTGAAGGCCCTAAGAAAAATCAGAGAGAGAAAGAGACAGATGAATGCTGGTACAAGAATTGGTTTTCAGCCTCTCCAAGGTTGTCAACCCTACTTCCTCCCATCTTGGGACCATTATTTGGGTTCTTTTTGCTTATTTCTGCTGGTCCCTGGGCCTCAAATAGGCTGACTAACTCTGTGAAACAACAGATAAACAATTAGGTAGCAAAACCTATTCAGATACATTATCATAAGTTAGCTATGGAGGACCACGAGACTCAAGATGAGGTTGTTACTTTATACAGGGTGTTCCCAAAACCCATCTCCACCCAACCTAAAAGAGGATACTTCCGCCCCTAGACCAGGCAGAGAGGGGTCACCCAGAACCCCCTCTGACAGGCGATCTGAATTCTTGTTTAGGCTGCAAGGCTTAAGCACTGCAAGGGAATATCAATAAAAGTTAAAAATATCTCTCTGGGTTCCCTGAGGGACAAGCCTGACTGCATAGGGGTTGATGTCAAAAGTATCCCCTCTCCAGGAAAAAGACATCGGGATAGGTATGGCCCTCATGCCTCACTGGACAACGACAGGGTACCGGAGCCATTACAAGGTCCACTTCAATTACTGGAGGTCAGGCCTCTATCCCCGCCTTCGCAAGATTAGAATAGCCACAGCCCTTCTATACTTAGAGAAGGGAGGAGATGTTAGGGGCAGCCCTGATTACACACTAAAGGCCTAAAATCAGCCATAGGCCTAAAATCAGCAACAGGCCTGTCATACATGTATACTAATACCAAGTCTTGGGTCTCTGTGGAAAAACATTGAAACAGATGGCTACAAGCTATTGTAAACAGGCAGCTTTTGTGGAAATTTACCAGCCCGAGTAGTCATAGACCTTGTAAATAGGTAGCCTTGGCAGACAATACCAACTTAGATAAGGACAAGTGAGTCATAGGCAGAGTCATAGTGACCTGTCCCCTGAACCTTCACCCAGCCGATACCCGGTTCTGAAAGATATCTGTATTCCCCCTGAACACCCACACTCCAGTGTCATCCCCTTCCCCACATCCTGCCTTTCTGTGTTTATAACCGCTGTGTGAATGAATTACAATTTGAGAAAAAATAAATAAATTATTAAAAAAAAAAAACTAAACTACCCACACATCTATGATTACTTGATCTTTGACAAAGGAACTAAAACCATCCAGTGGAAAAAGGACAGCATTTTCAACAAATGGTGCTGGTTCTACTGGAGGTCAGCATGTAGAAGAATGCAAATTGATCCATACTTATCTCCTTGTACAAAGCTCAAGTCCAAGTGGATCAAGGACCTCCACATAAAACCAGCTACACTGAAACTAATAGAAGAGAAACTTGGGGAAATCCTCAAACACATGGGCACGGGGGAAAAGTTTCTGAACAGAACACCAATGGCTTATGCTCTAAGATCAAGAATTGACAAATGGTACCTCATAAAACTGCAAAGCTTCTGTAAAGCAAAGGACACCGTCAATAGGACAAAGTGGCAACCCACAGATTGGGAAAAGATCTTTACCAATCCTACATCTGATAGAGGGCTAATATCCAAGGTATACAAAGAACAGAAGAAATTAAACTCTAGACAATCAAATAACCCTATTAAAAAGTTGGGTACAGAGCTAAACAAAGAATTCTCAACTGAGGAAACTCAAATGGTGGAGAAGCACCTAAAGAAATGTTCAATATCCTTAGTCACCAGGGAAATGCAAATCAAAACAACCCTGAGATTCCACCTCACACCAGTCAGAATGGCTAAGATCAAAAACTCAGGTGATAGTAGATGCTGGCAAGGATGTGGAGAAAGAGGAACACTCCTCCTTTGTTGGTGAGATTGCAAGATGGTACAACCACTCTGGAAATCAGTCTGGCGGTTCCTCAGAAAATTGAACATAGCAATACCTGAGGACCCAGCTATACCACTCCTTGGCATATACCCAGAAGATGTTCTAACATATAACAAGGACATATGCTCCATCATAGCAACCTTATTTATAATAGCCAGAAACTTAAAAGAACCCAGATGTCCTTCAATAGAAGAATGGATACAAAAATTGTGGTACACTTACACAATGGAATATTACTCAGCTATTAAAATCAATGAATTCAAGAAATTCTTAGGTAAATGGATGGAACTAGAAAATATCATCCTGAGTGAGGTAACCCAATCACAAAAGAATGCACATGGTATGCACTCACTGATAATTGGATATTAGCCCAAAAGCTCAAATATCTAAGATACAACTCACAGACCACATGAAGCTCATGAACAAGTTAGACCAAAGTGTGGGTGCTTTGGTCCTTCTTAGAAGCCGGGCAGTGGTGGCGCACGCCTTTAATCCCAGCACTTGGGAGGCAGAGGCAGGTGGATTTCTGAGTTTGAGGCCAGCCTGGTCTATAGAGTGAGTTCCAGGACAGCCAGGGCTATACAGAGAAACCCTGTCTCAAAAAACCAAAAAACAAAAAAAAACAAAAAAAAAGATTTGTTTTCATACTATGTATTTTGATTTTATCTTTCTCTTTTCGTGGAGTCCTTTTTATGTTGGCCAACTACTTCTGTGCATGAGGTCTGGCCTGGAGTGCAGTTGACATAACCAGTGAAAATCCATTGGAGAAAACTAATTTTTGCTCTCCCAGAAAGTATCAACTGCAAACAAATAATTAAAAATTAAGTCTTAAAAAAATGTAAAAGCACTAGGAAACAAGGAAAACTCAAATTATAAAAATTAGAGGTGAACACAGAAGTCACTACAAATTTCAGTGAAATTTAAAGGGTTACCAGAGACTACTCCAAAAACTGAGACTAAAAGAACAAGAATTTCATTTTAAGCAGAGGTGGGAAAGAAGCCGACCCTCAGACTTTCGCTTACAATGAAAAACTAATATCCAATAAAGCGTTCATCATCATGCCCAGTCAAGGGCAGGACGGAGCCTAAAATCAAGGGCTTCAACACTGACAGTTTAACAGAGGACGCTGCCTTAAATAGTGCTATGAGATACTTCATTAACCAGAGTCTTCAGCCAAGTATTCAACCCTCCAGATAAAGTATTTCACTCTAGAGGCATCTGTGAGTTTCTGTACGCATGCATCTTCTTTATGTAATTTTGCTGGGATTGTTAAGTAGGTTGATGTCCCAGGTTTGGCAAACAGCTCCATTCTCTAAGGCACAGCAATTGGCCCAAATGTGGCCTACCAGAGTCATTTGAAAGAAATTATTTCTTAAGGAAACTAGATCATTTCTTCAGGATCCCTAACTGGATGAACATTGAAAGACTGAAGTTGCAAGTGACCATCACCCTTATCAGATGAGACTCAACCCAGAGGAACACAAAATGCCTGTAAGTTCTTTAGCTATTGATCACATATAGACTTCTAGATCTCACCGACTTAGGGTAGGCACTAGAATCAAAAGTCAACAATTTATCACATAACCTAGAAACAACAATGTACTAGTCATACAGGTTTTCCCTCAAAAGTATGAGCTCCAGAAAAATCATTAAAGTATTATTGAACAGTTAATACAAGGAGCCATGAGACACCACTGGAATCCTGAGGAGGACAGAAAGACAGAAAAGAAACGCACATCATGAAAGTGTGCCACAAGAGAAAGAGATCAAAACTAGGGCGTTGCACACGCAAGGTGTTCTAGCACTGAGTAACACTCCCAACTTGAGTCACAAATTTCTAGCCTTGATCAGATTCTTCAAGCTTTCTGCTTCTGAACACAAATGAAACATGCATGAATGGTTTAGTCACTTTAAACAGTTACAAAAATGTTTAGCCTGAGGTAATCAACTGAAAAAAGAAATCACTTTTTCCCTGACACTTTGTACTGGCTGGTTTTGTGTGTACTGGCTGGTTTTGATACAAGCTGGAGTTATCACAGAGAAAGGAGCCTTCCTTGAGGAAATGCCTCCTGAGATACAGCTGTAAAGCATTTTCTCAATTAGTGATCAAGGAAGGGGGAGGGCCCAGCTCATTGTGTGTGGTACCATCCCTGGGCTGGCAGTGTTGGGTTCTATAAGAAAGCAAGTTGAGCAAGCCAGGAGAAGCAAGCCAGTAAGTAACATCCCTCCATGGCCTCTGCATCAGCTCCTGCTTCCTGACCTGCTTGAGTTCCAGTCCTGACTTCCTTTGGTGATGAACAGCAATGTGGAAGTGTAAGCTGAATAAACCCTTTCCTCCCCAACTTGCTTCTTGGTCATGATGTTTTGTGCAGGAATAGAAACCCTGACTAAGACACACCTAAAACCAATAAGTCTTTTTCTCTACACTGTGACTTTTGGCTTGGCCATGCATCTTCCTTTAGCTAACAATCTATGAGGTGGCTCATAGTGATTATCAACTTGACAAGAACTAGAGGAACCGATAACGTCTCCACATGTCTACGAGGGGTTATCTATATTAGGTTAACCTCTTGGCATGTCTGTAAAGGATTTTCCTAACTATGGTCATTGAGGTGGGGATGCACACTCAATATGGTATCATGTCATACACTAGGTCTTCAACTAAATAAAAAGGAGAAATAGAACTAGCTAGTATTCGTCAATTGCTCTCTTCTTCCTGACTGCTAACACAACGAGACTAGCTGCTTTAGGATCCTGCCACCTTGACTTTTTCTGCTAAAATCTGTACCATCCAACTGTGCACCAACATATACCCTTCCTTTCTTAAACTGCTTTGTCTAGTATTTTCATCACAGTAATAACAAAAGTAATACAGCATGTTACCAGCCATCACGTAAGCAGGGATTTTAAATGTGCCTCTTGCCCTTATATACTCTACCATAAATAGGAGAACGTGCCAGGCGACTATGGGTATACAGACCAGACACGAGTAAACCACGCAGGTGATCACAGGTTATATCAATAGACTACCAAGTGGTTCACAGAAGTTGTATGTCATATGACATGAGGTTGGTTGTTTAAAAGCAGTGTCTAAGTAAAATAATACACTAAGGACTCATTGCCCCGCGCCACTGTCTTAGTTACTTTTCTATGACCGTGACACGACCAAGGAAACTTATAAACACAACAGCCTTCACTGGAGCGGTTTGGAAGAAACGAGCCAACACATTTGGATTCATTGGTACATCTTGGGCAGCGAGTATCCCAATAATTTACTTCAAACTTAGAAAATAAACGTCTGAGTTTCACGTGGCGGGAAAAGGAGAAAGCTCCCTTTACCCTCCGATAGACATTGCACTGAAACGCGTGCAAAGTCCCCATTCCATTAGTGAACCTCGCGGATCTCCAGAGACGTGGGACCAAAACCTGCACCCAGGAAGTCGGTGACCGCGACTAGGCTGTGAGTTAAGAAGCAAAAAAATAAAATAAAATGGAAAGGTTCAGGAAAGCAGAGCAGCACGCGGTGAAGAGAGGCGGTCGCACCCATCAGACAGGCGAGCAAAAGGATTTTCTACTTGGAGCTGAGTTTCTGGAACCTCGCTCTGGCTGTCCCACTCTCCAACCCCGCCAGATTCTCCCTTTTTTGGTGGGACAGTGTAGATGAAGCAAGGGGGCGCTTCTCGCTTGGCTCCTGACAAATGGAGAAGTCAGCGCGGGGCTGTAGAGAACCGCGAGCCGCTACCTGAGAGGGGAGTGGCCACAGGCACCGGTGGAGAGCGCTCGCCCTTACCTGTCGCAAGAGCTGCCACCGGACGGCCCCTTTGGGTGCCGAGACCAACGACTCCTGTCCGGCACCGCCAATCATGGAACCCTTATCCGCCTCTGCCTCAGTCTCTCCAGCCCCTGCAGCCGCGACCTGCGACTCCATCACCAGGGCTAACTGGACACGGAGGTGCCTCCGCCACAGCTCTCCCCAGTCAGGACCTGCCAACTTCTTCGCTGTCAGGACCTGTGACGCCCGGCCTCTCGCCCACAGCCTTTGCGTGCACCCTCCCCGAATTCCGCATTTCCGGTATTCGCATCTCCTTGACAACCGAAACAGCGGTGTCACGTCGTTGCACCAGTTTTCTGGTGGCCATCTTAAGTGAGGGCGAGGCGGAGTGGGAGGGAACTGTGGAATAGCTGCAGAGAGGACTTTCCTCGTTGTTTTCATCTTTCTCGCTTTGTCTCTTGCTCGCAAGAATACAAGAAAACCAAAATACAGATGTCTCTTAAGATGAGTGAGTCCAGGAAGAGAAAAAAAGCCCTCCACTGACCATAATAAAGATGGCGAAACGTGCTTCCGATAGGGCTGGATAGGTGTTACGTAGACTAGCGTGCTGCAAACTAGCTCTGGGCGGCGCGAGATAGGTTGTCTTTCTTGCTGGCTGTTGAAGGCAGGCTTCGGGTGGACAAGGCTGAGGTGACTGCAGCTCCTTCTTGAGAGCTTCGGTTTTTCGTTTTTTTTTTTTTTTGTCTTCTCTACCTTCGTTCGTCCAGCTGTCTTTCAATTTGCGTACGTATGGAAGGGTTGCTGGAGGGCCCCCTTTCCTAACTCCTCTTCCCACCACCATTCCTCACTTCCCTGTTCCCTTTTTGATCCCTGTCTCTCCTGTGCGTGCTAACCGTACCATTCCCTCACGTCCTGAGAATACGGCGTCTCTGGGTTGCACAGTTGCATCGGGGAACGAAATAGGTGCTCCTGGGAACACTCATTTGCCTACCCCACCCGTATCCCTATCCTTGCACTCTGTCTTCTCCATGCAGATGATGGATGAATGGATTGAAGCTATGGGGACAGATTAAGCGATTTAAGATCATTTTTCTCCTAGGCTGCTGCTCCACTGGCCCATTATTTTGCTGCGACATAAAAGATTAAGGGGGGGGGGCGTCATAGCTGGTCAGATCTATGGCAAAACTGACGCAGTGTTTCTGTGCTACCAAAGAACATGTTAGAGAAGATATCTCTAATTATGCTCAACAGTGCTTAACATAGCTAAATTATTCCTATGCTAATAATATTAATGACCTTTTGTTGAGTGGTTACTATGTGCCAGGTACTTAGACTGAATTCTTAACATAAATTAATCTGGTTTTGTTACAAAACAACAACCCCAGAGTGTAAGTGCTATGGTTAATTTTTGTTTCACAAGTGAAGAAATTGAATCCAGACACTGTTAACGTGCAAGGCCCACGACCTAAACCTGGGTCTCTAGCTATGGAAGTTAAAATGACCTTACCTTCCAGCAGAAACCAAAAATGACTTGACAATTTATTTGTGCATCGCACAGTTGTTTTTAATTAATTAGCTTTTTATGGTTAAGTCCAATCGCTCATGTAGAAGGAGGAGCCAACTCAGTCGGGCGTTTGGCTGTCTGAAGAGTTGGGGAAATGTCTTGAGCTCTCCAGAGCCACAGATGGGTCACCTGGACAATGAACAGCACTCTGGCTTACTCGTCAAGTACATATAAAGCTTAAATTAAACGGCTAGGTCAAAAGGACCTGGCGCCTAGCTTCACTCAACAAATATGAATCCCCCTTTTCTGAAGTGATTCAGGTTTTTTCCAATTTGTCTAATATACCAATGATATGCCAGAATTATGTAAGATAAAACCCACTTTGCTTTTGAACCCCCTCTGAGGACCCGAGATTCCCATTAACTCCATTTACTCATTTGCAAATTTTTATTTTGTTTGTTTTCTGTTTTTTGTTTTAGTTTGTCCATACGTTCTCCAGAGTCACGGCTGCTTAGCTTGACCCTAGGAAAACTGACTTTACAGATGACGTGTTTAAGTCACGCCTGCCAAGAAGTATGATCTGAATGAACTCATACAAGCTTTTAAATGTATTTAACCTAAGTTATCAGATGTCTACCACTATTTGTAACCTAACGGGTTCATGACACCAGAGGGGAGGAATAAGATGTGACAACCTCAAATGGTCTAAGATTCCATTACTGTATAATTATACGTATGAAATCATTCACATGCTGGCAGCCCCTAAGGGAGCAAAAACCAGGGACTTTGCCACCATGCAGCAGATGACTAAAGTATTTCTCCGAGCTTTGAAGTATAGTATTCCTCATCTGGGGAAGTGCATGCAGAAACAGAATTACTGTAACGTCGCTGATCCTTGTTACAATAGAATAAGATTGAAAAAGTGTCACCTAGCCAAGTGTCTGCAGAATAAACCCAAGATATCAGAATTAGCAAGATTCATCCCAAGTCGGAACTTCTCATGTAAGGTATGGACTATTCAAGTTAATCTATTTGTAGGCCATTAATACTAATTTTAGTTCATAAATAATGGGTAAGGTATTTATTACTAATTTTCTCAGTAATTCTAATTTGATTTTAAGATTTTTTTTAGGCTCAAATATCTGTAGTCAATATGAGTACAAAAGAATGTATGTGAACCTATACAGCTATAATGTATATAAAAATGCAGATTCATTGAAAACTGATTTGATCTCAAAATTTAATGCACCTGTAAATGTGTTTTTAAAGTATAGTTTTCTAAAATTATGAAAATATCAAATTATGCCTCTTAATAAACCTGGTAATATGCTGATTCTTATATGAATCCCAGATTAGTAAATGTCAACAAATACCATGCAGTTGTGTACTGTCTTGATACAATGGAGTGAAAAGCTATTGTGCATTTTGGACAACTTGCATTCCAAAAGAAAATAATTACTGTTGTTCTGCTGGGCCCCAAACTGGGCTTGAACTGAGCCCCAAGAAACAGGTTGTGCTTGTAGAGAGTAACCACGTGTTCCAGTTAGCCTGAGACAGGCCCACTGTGCACCTGTTGTCCCAGTGTGACTATTAATAGTCCTCTCTCCTCTCAGAAGTGTCCTACTTAATCTGTCATGTCGAATGGTCACCAGACTTAACTGGAAATGAAGCTGTGTACCCTGTTGCTGCTTTGACAGATATCCTCTCCTTTTTAACTCTCTTCCTGTGGCTCCGTACACTGCACTCGGGGTGCTGGAGTTTACAGTATCTTAGCATTCTTTTATCATTTTAGTCTTGTAATCTATTTTGGTTTCCTCTAATTGTGGCAAATTATATATTCTTAAAGTTATCATTTTAGCCACTTTCAGTCTGGTACTCAGAGGCATTAGTTACAGTCATAGTATTGTAATTCAACTATAATGACTATCTCAAAACTCTGTCATAGGGCCTTCCCCAAGACACCCCCAACACTGTGTTTCCCTCAGCCCTGAGGCATCTAATCTGCTTCCTGTATCTATGAGCTTACCTACGTATTCTGGTATCTTTGGTGAGCAGAAGCACACAATACTTACCTTTTCTATATTTGGTTTGTTTTCCTTTGCTAATGTTCTTTGGATTCCTCAGTGTCATAGCATGTATCATAACGTCATTCCTCTCTATAGAGATAACACTCTTTATATAATCTACATTCTGTTGATCCACCTGTTAGCGAACACACAAGTGTATTCTAAATTAATCTTATTTGACCTACTTCTGTTTTGTTTTTAGTTTTTACTCAGTGCTTGTTCTTAGCTAAATATTTGGTACATATGTATGTCTCTTGCCTTTAGCTTTTCATGTTGGTCCTCTCCCTTCCTGGACTTCCAACATTTCAATATTTTAAATTGATTTCCTTTGGAAAATTAGCTTGGCTCTGTGATTCTTAACTGTACACATCTAGAAACTTTAAAGATTCCTCTTCTGTTTTGTTTTTTGTCTTTTAATGTAGACTTACCATACTGTATACTCGTAAAGTTTAAAGCTTTCCCTACCGGGCTAAGCCTTTGAGTTGATTTATCTTGCATCATGAGTAGAACATGTCATTTTGTCTCAGATTATAAATAGTAAGAGGAGTTACCATCAGAGTAGCAGCTGGGAGATTGGCTCACACCCTAAGCCAAGAGGTTCTCTGAAACCATTTGTCTCTGAGGCTGTTAATTTTGTCATAGATTCCTAGAAACTGACCTGACAGCAGCTCTACAAATAGAAGCTCTTATGCCGGGCAGTGGTGGTGCACGCCTTTAATCCCAGCACTTGGGAGGCAGAGGCAGGCGGATTTCTGAGTTCGAGGCCAGCCTGGTCTACAGAGTGAGCACCAGGACAGCCAGGACTACATAGAGAAACCCTGTCTCGAAAAACCAAGAAAAAAAAAAAAAAAGTTCTTTTAGGAAGCTCTTCCCCTGACAAAGCAGTTCTGCTTCCCTGCGCTTTGTGTGTCAACCGTTCCTTCTGTGACAAATAAAATGATCAAAATGGTGGGGTGTTTACTTATTTCTGCTCTGAGACCTGGGGAAGCTTCGTAAAAGATAATCCTGTAGCTATGAAAATACTCTGAGGACAAAAATGCATAATGCATCTTTCTTTTTTTGTTTTGGCAGGTTCCTCTGAGTTCCAAATTTGTCTGCTCTTACAGGTTGTAGTAAAATAGAAGGCCTTCAGTAGGTCTATTTAAAGACCAACTACTTAAATAAATTAACAGAAGAACAAGAAAAGACATCATATGTAATAGAAATAATGGAAAAGAACTAGCCAAAACTAGTATGGCTGTAGACTAGTCAGAGATATTAATTTTCTTCACTCAAACAAGCAAACCAAATCCACAAACTCAAACCTCACTGTGCCTTGTTACCTTGGCAACAAATTATCATGTAACTTTGAGATATCTCTGTACCAACCTCTGCAGGCTAGACATGTGCCAGTAATCCTGGGAGCTTTGTAGAAATGCAGATTCCTAGACCTTCGGCCATTTCTGTTGAACCTGAATGGCTAGTGCCATTAAGAATCTAGTTTCTTTTTTATTTTTGAGGCAAGATTTTTCTGTGTTGAGCAAAACTATTGTTCATGCAGTCCTCTTGCCTCAGCCTCTCAAGGAACTAGGATTATAGGCCTCACACCCAGCCAGAAGTTTGTTTTTGTGGGATGTTTTGTTTTCAGTGTTTCTTTGTTAACTAAAATGTGAAGCCTGCCTGCCACTGACCCTATATCTATATTTAGAAAGTGGAGGTTCTTGGTGATTACGTGTTGGTGACCTAACCCTGATTTGTTTGGTTGTAACGTTCTTTTTAGTCAGTATCTGAAATTACGGTAGCATGTTAACAATCAATCATAGGATTTCTTCCATTGCACTCACGTTTGCCAGTTATGCTCAAAGGGTAGAGAAATCCTGTCACAAAGAGGAGGAGGAGGAGGAAGAGGAGGAAGAACTTAAAACTTGCCATTGAATGTGTCAATTACCTATTTCACCTATGTCTTTGGATTAACAGGTGCTAACAGTGGTGGGCAGTCAAGATGTGTACATGTGGTGTGTGTGTATGTATGCATGAGTGCGCATGCCTGAGTGTATCTTGGTGAGACCAGTTGGTTAACAAATACTGTATTTTCACTGAGCCACACCCCCAGCTTTGACCAGCCTGTACAGGGTAACAGAGAACTTCTCCCTGACATTGTGACTTGTGATTTCTAAGAACACTAGTGGTAATTACTAGCAGGTTCAAATCATCAGAAGGGAGGAGAAAAGATAAACAGTAAAGGAAATCTCAGGCTAGGGAAAACTGTAGTCTGGCAGTTTGTCGAGAGTTGAGAGTGAAACTACGGCACAGGCATACCTTCACTTTGCTGGGTCTTTTCCATGGTTTACTTTCTTTTTAACCTCCTTCAGTTCACCATCCATTCCTTTGTTGGCTGAGATTATCCATTACCTGTCTGGACACTAAGTCCCGAAGTCCTTGCAAAGGACTTTTGAAAGAAAACTAAACTGACACAAAGCTGTTAGGACTCTTCTTTCGACCACATGATAAGATGTAGGACCATTCTTTAGTCCGCATGATTAGCATTTCCTCTGAAATCTCAGTGGATTTGATTACAGACTATTCCCTAAAAATTAAGATTGGTACCATACTAGCTCGCTCAAAGTCACAAAATTCTAAAACATATCTGGACCAACTTTATGCCTCAAGTGGGCCTACTTTTCTAGATTTACTTATTTTCATACACATGAATGTTTGCCTACATGTATGTCTGCACCATGTCTATGCCTGGTGTCCATGGAGGCCAGAAGAGGGTGTCAGATCCCCTGGAACTGGGGTTACAGACTATTGTAAGATATCTTCTACAGGAGTAGGAAATGTTCTTAATCTTTGAGCTAACTCTCCAGCCCATATAATTAGAATTTTAAAGCTTAATAGTATTTCACAAATGATAACTATTTTATATTCTGATTTTCATATATATATATTTCAGATATGTTGATTATACATTTAGTATTTGATTCATTTAATATGAATTAATATGTCTCATGTGAGACAACTACCAAGGAAAGTAGTCAAGGGAGTCTCTTTGTTTCCAAATTTAAGGTTTCAGCACATTTTCAGATTTGTAAATGATTTTCTGTTTATTCAGAGGACCTGAAGATTTACCTTTTGGAGTAAGTGATGTGGCTTGGCAGATAGGGGCACTCATTCGCCAGCGCTGAGTTCAAGACCTGGGTTCCATCCCTAGAACTCACATGAGGGAAGGAGAAAACTGACTCTTGCAAGTTGCTCTCTGACCTTCCCACACATACACACAATGGATGGATGGACGGACGGATGGATGGATGGATGGATGGACAGACAGACGGATGGGTGGACGGATGGATGGACGGATGGAAGAAGGAAGGAAAAAAGAGAAGTGTTTATCTTTGTATTAGTGTTGGATGACACGGGTAGACTTTTCAAATGATGGATCATCCAGTCATTCTTATGAAGAATCCTACTTGGTCATATACCTGTTGGAATTCTTACTATTAGTGGTTTTGTTATACAAATTTTAAAAATAATAGATTGATCCCATTTTCTTTAAGGTTGGTTTTGTGTTGATGCTGTTCGAGGGTGGTTGAGATTGAACCAAGGAGCTTTTCATTGCCAAGTAAAACTTCTAATTGTAAGCCCAAGATTGATTTTTTTTTCCACTTTTGGGGGAAATTAATGTTCTTTTTCTTTTGTCTAATAATATTCTCATGATTTCTCACTAGTATTTTCCAAAAGTATATACTTTTTCCTTCAAAAAAGTCTGTCTTCTTCCTGCTTAGATTTCTGTGCGTTTCTGGCCAATTAGATCAATTCGTGACTAAGACAAATGTCTCTGCCTTCATGGAGGCTAATTTGTTTTTCAATAGAAATGACATTATAAAGAAAGATAAGAATAATCTAGTGAGGGCTAGACATGTAGCCCTGTTGGTAGAGTATTTGCTTAGCATGCAAGAAGCCCTGGGTTCAACCAGCACAACAACCGGGCATGGTGACAACTTCTGGGATCTCAGCACCAGAGAGGAAGAGGCAGGGTGGCTGTTAGAGTCTTCCTCCACTACATAGCATAAAGGGACATCCAAGGCCAGCCTGGGCTAAATGAAATTTCCTTTCTGAAACAAAAGGGATAATGAGTTAGAAGCGACCAGTACAATAGAAAACAAAAAAAAGAAAGAAAGAAAGAAAGAAAGAAAGAAAGAAAGAAAGAAAGAAAAAGTAGAGGATCAGGGAATGGCAGAAAGCAAGCACGTCCGAAGTGAGGCGAGATGGTCGGGGTTGGGCTCGGGGGCAGTGGAGCATGTGGGCATATACTTAAGATGGAAGAGCCGAAACAAGTGACAGCTCATGCAGATAGTTCAAACAGAAGGAGGAAACTTCAATGTGCATTGTCACTGAGTTTAGTGTCAGGTTATATTACTCTAGTAAAGCCAATTGAATAATTTTACCTTGTTTCTTGTTCTCTTAAATAGTCAATTATGAGATTTTTTAATTTCCTTTTAATATAGGGGGCAGTGAGGGAGATGTAGAGGCAGTAATAGCTGAAATAAGATTTCTTAATATAACCCAGACTTAGGTCAAACTCAAAATCCTCCTGTCTCATTCTGTGTGCTGGGATCGTAGGCCTGTGCCACCATATCTAGTTCAAGAAAACTACCTTTGAACGCACTGGAAGGAGACAATTTCTTATCCATTTATTTTGAATAGTTTACTACCTTTTTCATAGTTACTTCCTTATGTGGCTCTTTTATGTCGTAGTCAGTTTGGGGACTGTGGCACTGATGATCTCACAGTGGCTGTGGTACCTGCACCAGTCAATGTTCTAGAATGGAGAGGCAAGGGACTCAGGCTCCCTCCTCTAACTGAGGAGCTAGACAGCTTCTGGGGAGGGAAAACCCATTGTCATTAAGCATGTAGCCCATTAGATGTGCACTCAGCAGGCTATCAAATGGGGTTGGGCATGAGCTGGGGAGGGAGTGGAGAGGGCTGTAAGATAGGGGGTGGGCATGAGCTGGGGAAGGAGTGGAGAGGGCTATAAGATAGGAGGTGGGCATGAGCGGTGGGGGGAGTGAAGAGGGCTATAAGATAGGAGGTGGGCATGAGCTGGGGAGAGAGTGGAGAGGTAGAGGTGGACCTGATGGCAAATATGAACAAAATAACAGTTATATGCATGCATGAAATCCTTAGATGATTAATAAGATATATTAAAGTGGAAATGTTTTCATCTCTATTATACCTCACTGTTACCATGCCTTTCATATGTAATAACCTTTGTCTTCGTTTCCTTGATCAGCTATACCACACATTGTCTTTTAGTAGGCTTTCGGGGATAACGGAATAGCTGGTTTATGTTCTTGCTTCTCTCCGTTTCCGTTGTTAAGCAGTTTCATTGAGACATGCAGTTTCCTCTCGTCTTGGGCTGTTCTGTTGCCTCTAATGGAGATGCAGAGTCAGTTTGATTGTTTTAGCTAAAGCATTAACTGCTGGTTGTCCCTTTTAGCACCTGGACATCTTCTTTCTGAATATAGGAACTCGGGTGCTGTGCGAACAGACGTTGTGCAGTATTCCTACCACAGTGGGTTTCACTCTGTCCATTTCAGCCCTAACTGTTTCACCAGAGCACTTAAAATGATGAGTCTATCGTTCTTTCCACATTTATTAGCCAGTTTTATTCTGTAAAGTTTCTTTAAGGTTCTCTTTCAATTTTAATTTTATGTGATACAAGTGTTTGTTGTCCATTTGCTTATATGTGGATTTTGCTTTTTTCAGTGTATTGTAACTAAGTAGTTGTTATTAATTTTTTTCATGCTCAAATTATCCCACACATGGGTAGTGGACACCCCTTTACACTGTCCCTTGTGTACTGTTGGCATGCCTGTGTTATCCTAAGAACACTTCCTTTGTGGTACAGAATGTGCCAAGCCTACCTTAGCCAAGATCTGGAATTAGCCATTTATTAATGATCTCATCTTCATTTTGTGTTTTCCTACTGCATAATTTTTTGTTCTTATTGTGTAACATTTTGCCACAATAAAGTTGTGCATTTGATTGTTAATACCTTTCATAGTTAAAGTGGATTTATGTGGGCCCTTTGGAAATCGGCAAAAGGTACTTCTTTCTGCTCCTGAAAGAGTGATAGTGTATGTGAAACCTTCTTAAGAGTTGAGCAGGCCAGAGAATGGGAGTGTAGCTCATTTGATAGAGTGCTTGCCTAGTGTGCACAAGGCCCTGGCTCAGACTCCCAGACCACAAACTAGGAGTGACAACACTCAACTCATCTGTTACCCCAGCCCTCTAGAGGTGGAGGGTCAGATGTTTAAGATCACCTTCTAATACACAGCAAATGTAAGCACAGCATGAGAGTCACAAAAAAAAAAAAAAAAGGGAAGAAAGAGAAACTTTCCAGGAAGGCCGGCAGTATCCACGGGATTCAGAGAAGCTCAGTTTCAAGGCTTCTCATTTGCTAAGAGACAGAGCTTCAAGACAGACTTCTAGCTGTATATTCAGTTTTATTACTTACTATTCCAGGCAATATTAGAGAGTTATGAATTGCCTTACTCCAAGTATCAGCCATATACATTATAAAAATGTAAGAACATGAATGAAAATAAATGTGTCAAGCTTTCATTATTTTTACTGCAAATAATTCAAAAATGACAGCTGCAATTGAAGGTGAAGAGGAGAGGCTGCTGAGGAGGCTCACTGGGGACACATGCTTGCTGCCAGGACTTGCCACTGAGGGTTAGTTACACATAGTGAAGGAGCCTCCCCCAACATGAAATAAATAAATGTATAATAATTTTTAAAAGAAAGTAGATAGTGAACATTAACACTACCATAGCAGCTATGATGACTAAGTCTAATCCAAGTCATTAAAGCGTCCTCAAGTTGTTTAAAGAATAGCTTTGTGAAAATAATTCTTTCCCATTTAGTCTGTTTTGATGACTTTTGTTTTATTGTACTTACTTTTAGGTTGTAAACTTCTTCCAATCTAATCTACATATGTAGCTTACATTCTCAACATTGTTAAGTGCCCTGAGCAAGCAAGCGGTCTTCAGCAGCAAACATAAATCAACTTCTAGGTCTGCTTTGGCATCGTCTCTCTGCATTTGTCATCGCCAGCAAAGAGCTAAAGAGTCGGACATCTTGACTAAAATTCTTTTGTTTAAGCAAGGCAAAGCAGTGGAGCGTTGACTTATTGAATGTTTTTATACTTTGGTAGTTTTCAGCTCAGCCTTAACAAATGTTGAATGTTCCGCAGGAGGTACCCAACCACCTAGCTTTTTGCTCTGAATAAAGTGTGGGTAGATGCTGATGTGGCTCCTTCTCCATCTTTACTTACCATTAAGTTCCATTGTTTTTCCTTCTTTTTTTGTAATAAACTAACCCTTAAACAGAAAGGGAGGAACTGGGCGGCAGTGGTGCATGCCTTTAATCCCAGCACTCAGCAGGCAGAGGCAGGCAGATATCTTGCGTTTGAGGAAAGCTAGGGCTACACAAAGAAACCCTGTGTCAAAAAAAATGAGAGACTTTGTCATCTGAGCAGTTCTTCTACTTTCTGATCTAATAAACAGTTATATTAATATTTGTGGAGTTATGTGTCCCACCAACATAAAAGATGTCATAAATTGTTCTCTGAATTAATAACCTACATCTATTAGTTAAGAAATACCTTCCTGTCTGACATTTCCCTCCTTATAGGATCTATTTCAGTACTTACAAAGCTCAACAGGCTTTTTCCCCCTGCAGCTCATTTTGACTAAATATGTAAAAGTTGAAAGGGTTCTCTTTCCTCCTTAACTGTATATGGTATTTCTGAACACTGCTCGGGCTTCTTGGTACTTCTAGAAGTATCTTAAGGACTCGCAAAGTTACTAGAACACATCAAGTGTCTGCTTTCTTTTGATGAGCTTAAGAAAGAACAAGATTTGTAAAACACATTTTATAAATACCTAACGGTGTAACACCTGCATAAAAAGTAGAATAATCCTAAAAAGTGAATACTTTCCCTTGGGTTTGAAAGATTTTGATCATACCACCAAAAATGTTTCTAGGATCTTCTGCCTGTTAAGCCAGAAAGTGAAAAGTCCATTTCTGAAAACATGGATGCGTTTGAAAAAGTGAGAGCAAGACTAGAAACACAGCCACAGGAAGAATACGAAATTGTCAATGCAGAGGTAAGCTGCACTACGTCTTCTGGGAGGGCTGGCTGTGTGGTCATGTCAGATGAGTGAGGTGCCTTGTACTTCATAGGCAGAGCACCCCAACAAAATTGGGTCCCGCTTAGCCTTTCAAGCCTTCTGAGCATCTTCAACTGTAAACAATAAAGAGAATATGATCCTTAAAATTAATCCTTACGATAAAGCACCGAGTGTAATAGGTGAATTCTGGGTAGTGAACAGGTGAATGCTGGAGAACAGTAGCTCGAGTGTAAATGTATAGTCATTCCACGGAGAGGCTCATATAAGACTGTTCATTTCTTTGTTATTTCAAAGTGTTTACATGTTATGTCTATATTTTAATAAAAGGAAATTCACTTTAGTAAAGTTTAAGTACACAGTTAATCATTTTATAATTACCAGTCATACTCAATTGAAATAAATTGAACAAAAAGATTGAAAATTTTTTTAGTAAAACTGGGAAACAGCCCACAGATTATTAATGAAAGTCACATACATAGTAAAATACAAATAGCAGTGACAAATCCAGATTAAAAAATATGCCGTAGTATAATGTGTCTTACGCCACCTGAAACCAAGTTAGCAGCTGCATTTAATATGTGTTAGACAAGAACTCCGTTCATATATGTGTGTGTGTGTTTATATACGTATGTACGTATAGTTAATATTTATTTTCTTACTCTCAAACACTGTCACACCACAGTATACTTTGTATAAAATTGAGTTGGTACTGCACAAGTTAATGACGACAGTGATTTTAAAAGACAGGATGCCAGAATGTTGATTGGCTTTTTCAGGTTAGCCAGTTTTCTTTTCTGTATCAGTTTAGATCATCTTAATGATGCTACCTGACATTGTTAACTGAGTCTCACTATGCAGATATTAGATGAACAGCATAGATTTTGTTATGCCCTTGCATTTATGTATTCGAAATCGCCAACAATTCTGAACTTAGGAAAGCTGTTTCTTGCTACCTGTGCTGTAAAAATGGTTCATTTCATCGTCATTCACGTATCTCAGTAGACTCTAGGGTAGGGGTTCTCTCTTCATCAGAAGTAGTCAAACCATTAAACAATTAAATTATCATCAAGTAAGTCCTGTTTTCTCCTTATTGTCAGATTAAACATGGCAGTTTTGTGTATTATCAAGAAGGTTGCTGCTTGGTTCGTTCCAAAGATGAAGAAGGTAAACTTCACTTGTTCTTTACTGATGACCTGGCTTTTCGGGTTTCAATTGTTTAACAGGAAGCTTGATAGTAGTTGCTCAAAGCTATTAGAATAGAGTTTATTAAAGATGATTTCTAAATTTTATAACTGAGTGGATTTTAGTGTCTGGGTTGACATAAGGTTGACATAACCTGCCTTCAGGAGCTTTAGCAAGGAGAGTGGAGATGGGGTCCAGCATGTCTGAGTATGTTTTGTGTCTCAGTGCTGTGCTAGGCACTTCACACATGTTACATGTGTCAGTTGTATTCTCTTTGTGAGTTCTGTAAATACTAGACCAGGGGTTCTGAACTTGTGGGTGGCCACCCCTTGGCAAACCTCTAACTCCTAAAGTATTTACATTATGATTCATAACAGTAGCAAAATTATTTTATGGTTAAAGGGTCACCACAACATGAGGAACTGTGTTAAAGGGTTGCAGCATTGGGAACATTGAGAACCACTGTCCTAGACTATGACAGTAGCTCATAGGTTAATATGTAGAATAATAATGAATAAAATAGTTTTAATAATGATTGTAGAAGAACATCAGTCTATGGCTTCAGAGATTGTCAATTTAAACGTTAAGTATAGTTTAAAATCAAGTACAATGCCGGGCAGTGGTGGCGCACGCCTTTAATCCCAGCACTTGGGAGGCAGAGGCAGGAGGATTTCTGAGTTCAAGGCCAGCTGGTCTACAGAGTGAGTTCCAGGACAGCCAGGGCTACACAGGGAAACCCTGTCTCGAAAAACCAAAAAAAAAAAAAAAAAGTATAAGTATATGTTGTGGCATTCTCTCTTCCCCACCTCCCTTTATGCAGCTGACAGTGATAATTATGAAGTTTTATTCAACCTGGAAGAACTTAAGTTGGACCAGCCCTTCATCGATTGTATCAGAGTTGCTCCTGATGAGAAATACGTGGCTGCCAAGATAAGGACTGAGGATTCTGAGGCATCCACCTGCATAGTTGTGAGGCTCAGCGACCAGCCTGCGATGGAAGCATCTTTCCCAAACGTGTCCAGCTTTGGTAAGCCACCAAGAACTCTGTGGGAAGGCAGCCACAGGGAGCCACTCATGTACGGTAGGGAAGAAGATGGGGGTCAGGGCCTGGTCTGCTTCTGTCTGGACTCCACATCCTCCTATGGAGTTCTCATTCCAAAATACTCCCTCCTTTGATCATCTATCTGAGTGGGTTACTGTATCATTGGGTTTGTGGGGACTGAAGAGTCTGCTCAGAGGCTGAGAGCATGTCTGTTACACTTGTAGAGAACACATGGGTAGTTTTCAGTGGCCATGTTGGGCAACCTAGAACCACCCATCACTGTTAACTCCTGAAGGATCCAACAGAGAGCCACATGGAAACACATCATATTCATAATTAAAAATAAAAAATAAATATGTCATGAGCTATCAGGGGGCTTTGTGGGTAAAAGCACTTTCCACACAAGTCTGATGTCCTGACATCAATCCCAGAACTCCTGGTGAAAGGAGACAGCCAATTCCTGAAAGTTGACCTCTCACCTCCACAGTCACACTAGGACACAGACATTCACTGCATTCACACACACTTCATACACACACTGATAATAAAACACATTTAAGTAAAGTAGTGCTCATGTTTTTAAGCCACTTCTAATCTAAATCCTACATGTATATTCTGTTATATAGTAATTCTTGGCTAGTTTATTTTGCAGACTGAAGTTTTACAGTTGTTGCTTCTTGATATTTTATTCAACCTTGAATTTGGATTATTTTTTATCATTATTTTATTTTTATATTTATTTTTATCATGGAGATCTAATATAGTACTTGTCTCAAAATCACTCCTAGAAACTGGAAAATGGCCATTCATCAATAGAAACTGACATTTTTAGTATTGATCTAGCTTTAAATCTTGTCATTCATCATCATAACCTGTATTACATTGCCATTATTTTCTGAATTGCTTAGTTAGATCCTTTTGTATTAAGTTGATAAATGTAATTATAAGCTACCTAATACATTCTTTTGTATGTATGAAATGTATGAATCATTCCCCCCCCCCGTGTGTATGTGTGTGTGTTTATCTCTGTCTGTGTTACATACATGTGACTGTACAAGTGTACCCATGCTTGCTCCTGTGAAGGCCAGACTAGGGAATTGGCTGTCTTCCTTTATTATTCCATGCCTTAGTCCTTAAACAGAATCTGTCGCTGAGCCAGAAGCTCCCCATTTTGGTTAAGGTGACTGACTAGCCAGCAAGCCCTTGCGATTGTCTATGAGCCCCAACTTCTGGGATTGCAGCCGTGCACAGCCATGCACAGCTTTTTATGTAGGTGCTAGGGACTCAGAGACAGGTACCCATATTTCTCCCCAGGCCCTGCACAGTGAAGTCTAGCAGATAACATTTGTGCATCAAACCTCTAAGAGCAGAGTTCGTATTATATAGTACTGACTTAGAGTGATGGTCAGCCAAGTGCTGAAGAGAAGGACGCTGTTAAAGTGCTTTTGGGAGTTTAAGCTGTCTTAGTCCCCCAGAAGCCGACATTGAACACAGGAGGAGAGAAAGTGATCAGGGTTTCTTCAGAGTTAAGCAGCCAAAAGAGTTGTCTTCAGAGTTAAGTCTCCCAAAAGCAAATGTGACTTTACCCATCCTTCTCCTTACCATGGGGTCTTATTTGGTGCTTGAGTAGGCGAAGACTAAGCAATGGGAACCTTGGAGCAGTCTCGTGGCTTTATGTGTATTCTCCGAGTTGTATGTAACCTCAGGCTTTAGTCCGGCAAGCTTGTGCAGGTGTGGATGTGCAGAAGTCGCTTACACGGGTCCTCTCTTGGCGCTCACAGTTGAGTCCTACACCATTTTAAACTACACAGGTCGCTGGTTCTAAAATCCTTTCATTCCTTCCTTTCAGAATGGGTGAAGGATGAAGAAGATGAAGATGTCTTATTCTACACCTTCCAGAGGAACCTTCGCTGCCATGATGTGTATCGAGCCACATTTGGTGACAACAAGCGCAATGAACGATTCTACACAGAGAAAGACCCCAGGTGCCAGTGTGCCACCCTCTCTGCCCCCCAGTCTCTCCCCTTATCCAACATCCTGATCTTGTCCACCTGAACTGTTGAGAATGGAAAAATTGTTACTTATCATTCTACCTTCTAGAACTAATCTACAGAGTTTACCAAATTTTATCAATTTGGGATGCTTAATCATGAAAAAGTTATACATATGGCCACAAAGAGTCCTTGTCAGCCAAGTATTCTGCCATCTTTGTTTTCTGTACTTCAATTGTTGGTTATTTAAAAACAAGTTTTCATTTTAATGGTAGAATGTCTCTAAAATTGATGGTTGGGAAAGTGCTTGCTAATATATTCTTAAAGAGTATTTTAAATATTGACTCTTTGTTTTCAAATATTTCTATTTCTAGAGCCGTAAAATCCATACAGTCTCATGAAAACTACTATGCAGATTCTAAAAGGAAAGATCTATGCTAAATTTTTAAAAACATCTGATTTTTAAGTTACTGAGTAGTCAACCCCTCCCCAACTCTCCACACACACCCCACTACCATTACACGCTTTTCCTCCCTAGCAGAAATGCTATTCACTAAGAACAGGTGTAAATTTTAAAAAGCAACGACAATGACTGGTCTCTGAAGACTCTTGGGATCCAAAACCCAGAGAACACAGGTTAACAGGATCAATTTACAGGACTCGAAAAGCAAGCACATAGCAACTTCTTAGCTCCTCACTCTGCTCCTCAGATGCTGGAGCCTAACTCTGCCCTTCACCTCTGCTTCTCAGATGCTGGGGCCTAACTCTTCCAACAAGAAAGAGAATTAGAGCTGAGTGCACTGTTATTTAATCCCAGCACTTGGGAAGCAGAGGCAAGCGGATCTCTGTGAGTTCAAAGCCAGCCTAGTCCATAGGTCCAATTCTGGGACACTCAGGCTACATAGAGAAACTCTATCTCTGAAAACCAAAAGAAAGCTAAGGAGGAGGAGGGAGGAAAGGGAGAGAGAGAGAGAGAATAAGCCAGGAGTAACTCCTACCCGGCCTGCAAGGAGTTTTAGAATTACTTCATAGATGCTTGTAAACTTGAGCTTGAATAAACAATTTCTTTTTTTCTGAATTATATGGGCATTTTGCCTGCAAATGCATCTGTGTAGCACATGCATGCCCAGTACCCACAGAGGCCAGAAGAGAACATTGGCTCTGCTAGAACTAGAGCTAGAGGCAGCTGTGAGCTGCCATGTGGGTGCTGAGAATTGAACCCAGGTCCTCTGGAAGAGCAGCAGTGTTCTTAACTGCTGAGTCTTCGATCTAGCCCCTCCAAAACCTTTCTTGTTCAGTTTTTAGTATTTATAACATTCCACCTGAGGTGCTCAAAGATTGGATGGTGGAGGCATCCATTCCAAACCATGCCATTGGTTCCAAATGTCTTCAGGGTTTATAGCTGAGCTGCAACCCTTTCCTACTTTTAAATGTACCCCTTATTTAAATATATTTATGGAAATATATATAATAGAAATCCATGCAAGTCATTTCAGCCTTGCCTCTTACATATCAAATAATATTCCAGAATAGGAACGTGGTGTTTCCTACTCAAATCCCAGGTCCTCAGCCAGGACAGCAAGAACTTAATGCTTTTTTTTTTTCCTTTGTAGCTTTTTTGTTTTTCTCTATCTTACAAAAGACAGTCGTTTCCTCACTCTGAATATTATGAACAAGACGACTTCTGAGGTGTGGTTGATAGATGGCCTGAGCCCTTGGGACCCACCGGTACTTATTCAGAAGAGAATCCACGGCATGCTGTACTATGTTGAGCACCGAGATGATGAGTTATACATCCTGACTAATGTTGGAGAACCTACAGAATTCAAGGTAGTTCTCCACCCTGCTTGTTCCCATTTGGGATGGGCTCCTGAAAGTGTCCACTTTCCCTCACCAACCTTCCTTGTTCTTTGAGAGAATGAGAGAACGGGATTGGGGGTTAAAGTGTGGGATGGCTCTGCCTTCTGGTACGTTGTCAACCCCACCTCCCTCCCATTACTTCCCTCCCCTTAGAGCTAACATTTCTTCCTACTATATCTATACATAAAGTTTCAGTGAATGAAACATTCTATACTGTTCATGTTGTAAAAACCAAACTTGGTTGAGCTTAGAAGATCACACCCAAAATCCTGATTGTGAGGTGGCATCTGAATTAGTGTCAGGCAGGCTTACCAGTACATCCATTGTCCCCTGGTTGACTGTCAGCTAAGCATGGCACCACACTGTCTCACCACCCAACATGCTAACCTGGGCTAAAACAGTGACATTCACACTTTGTCCCTGATACAGCTCATCATAGAATAGCAACAGCTGCTGTGGTCTCCTCAGTGACCTCACTTTGAGCTCTGCAGCCTTGTCTTCTGTCACCTACATCTTCCTAACCTTCTTCACACAGCTGATGCGGACAGCAGCTGACACCCCTGCTATTATGAATTGGGATCTATTTTTCACAATGAAGAGAAATACCAAGGTTGTAGACTTGGACATGTTTAAGGACCACTGTGTTCTGTTCCTGAAACACAGCAATCTCCTCTATGTTAATGTGATTGGTCTGGCTGATGACTCAGTGCGCTCTCTAAAGGTACGTCTAGTCTCAAGATAGTAGTACTCGACAAAAGCACAGCTTAGCCTGATAGAGCATCAAAATTTGAATGCTGTGTACTTTTCTTAAAATGAATTTAAGTGGATTTTAACCTACCAGTTTTTGACAGACATTGTTTTTAATGCAGTCTTGCTTAAACCAGTGGATTTACAGACGGAGTTGAGAAACAGTGTTAGGGGTCATTATGTCTGTCCTTCTACATAGCTCTGTGGGCAAGTATCTATCTCTTCAGTCTGAAGAGCAACAATAACCAAGACCTATGTGGTAGCTGGTACCCAGCCTGACTGCTGCTTGCCAGGGCCACATCCCAGAAGGACAATAGTCAGCTTATATCTGCAACTCCTGTCTTTGCCAGTTCTCTTACCCTTGAACATACTAAACTCAGCCACCAAGCCATACATCACCTCCACCTCCAAGCCCAACAAATGGTTTACTCTATGCTGTCGCTGGCTTTATTTGCAGGAGTCTGTTTCTAGGCCAGATTTCTCTCAGTGCATTGCAGCTCAGTAGGAAATGGCTTAAGATGCCCTTGAGACAGCTAATACTTGTGTATCAACTGGACAAATGCTTCAGAGTCCAGAGCCTTGGAACAGTTCTTGTTAGCATTACAGCTTTGACCTTGGTCCCTTGACTTTGGAAAAACCCAGACTTTGATTTGTTGGTACCAGTTATCCTAAAGCTAAAACAATGTATTCCATGGTCATAGTCAAGTTTTACTGAAAGGCAGAAGAAACTTAGCACAACTGTGGGCCAAGGCATCCTGTTCCTACTCTGACAGTTACCAGGCTCCCAAGTAGGATTCTTTCATTCACATAGGATCTGCCACAAATGTGTGTCCTTGTTCGCTTTCCTGAAAATAGACCCCAGCTTAACTGGGGGCAATGTGTGTGACCACAGTGCTCTCTGGCTGTGGTTGCTGTAGGTGAAAGTCTGGCCTCTCGATGCCCACAGCCCTGCCTGCTTCAGTAGTGCCCGCCAGTGATGTTGCTGGGCCAAGACCTCTGATTTTCTAAGGAATTTGCTCTTTCTACAATTACTCAGAAGGAAAGGCAATTTTCTTCTCATTCTTACTTCAGTGCTTCCGAGCACTCTGTCGACCTGCTTACCAGGCTACTTTAAAAGCTGTAAGTGGGATGTTAGAGGAAGCCTTGACGCTGGACCCTGCTGCTCTAAGAGAATACATTTTGATTCCTTTCCTTTCTTCTTAAAGTTAAGAATCTTGAGCATAATAGCTATGAGTCTCTCCGAGTCATTGTGCCTGGAAAGGTTTTGTTCTGCATAATGGTTAGCCTCAAAGCTAAAGTTAGAAACAAATTGTAACTGCTTTAGTGCTGCCGAGCCTGTTTGTGGCCCTGGAATAATGACTCTCATCACCGCTGGCCAGGCAGCAGGCTAAGGACCAGTGGGAAAATCATTCAGAACATCCACGTGAGGGTCCTACTTCAGTAAGGGCAGGGCCGAGGGCTGCTGCTGGCACTGGATCGCTGCTTCACTTGCTCTTAGTCACAGTTGTTTGGTCCTTTCATCACAAGTATGTATCTCCAAGTAAACTTGATATAAAAAGGAATTTCCTGTAACCTAGAATCATGATAAAACCAGTTTTTCCTACAATCTTGTTGGTAATTTATATAGGGTTTTATTTGTTTACCTGTAATCTGTTTTGTCACAATAAAGTATTTCTTAAATGACGTATCATGTAATAAGAAGGTAAAGCAGACAAACACGTCATTTTGTCTGGCTCAGACTCAGAAACTTTAATAGTGATCAGTGAAAATGGCTTTTGTCCTTCAGCTCCCTCCTTGGGCCTGTGGATTCATAATGGATACAAATTCTGACCCAAAGAACTGCCCCTTTCAGCTTTGTTCTCCGATAAGACCCCCAAAATATTACACATATAAATTTGCAGAAGGCAAACTGTTTGAGGAAACTGGTCACGAAGATCCGATTACAAAGACCAGCCGTGTTTTACGCATAGAAGCCAAAAGCAAGGTAGGTGTTGTAAGCTCCCAGTCCTGAAGGTGCATTGTGCCAGATGTCAGCTTCAGGGTCACGTCAGCACTGGTTTTGAAAATCCCTTACACTATAAAAGGTCCAGGTGATTTTAGGAATACATAGATTTTTTTTTTCTTTTACTTTTAGCATGGTTTTTAAAATGTCTGACTAGAGTGCTAAGCCCCTCATCTCACTTGCTTGTTTGACTTTTAAAGTTGAATTAATACAAGTAAAGAGGCACAGTTGGTACAGTTATGGAGGCCATTCTGAAAGTACAGAACATAGCTGATCAGAGCAGCCTAGAGCGTCACAGTGCCAGCCCTCACGAGGCTCCACTGGGGCAGCTACAGTGCCAGGGGCCCAAGAAGTCACTGCCAGAGCGTTGACAGCTATAGAGGAAAGAGGACCGAGCACACTGGACAGGTGGTAAGGGGGCCCTGGCTACCCAGGCAGCATTCTCCGAGGGAGCACTAGTTCAGGTAACCCATCTGCCTTAGTTCTATTGCTGTAAGAAAACACAGCATAGCCATAAACAAGTTAGAAAAGAAAGGGTTTATTTCAGCTAGAAAATCCATATTCTCTTCCTAGTACCCACATATTGGTTCACAGTCATGTGAAACTCAAGCCTCAGGAAGTATGGCATCTTCTGGTGTCCATGTGCACTACACATGTGATGTGATTTCAACACACATGCAGACAAAACACCCCAACACATAAATAATTTAACTCACGTGGATACAGTTAGGCCTTTGAAGGATGCAGATAACTGGCAAGAACTCAGTAGTAATGGTAAGCATCGGACATCTCTGAGGTCAGAAGTGAGACTGGGAGGACTTTTTAATCATATGTGTAAATATTCAAAAATAAGATAGTATCTATCCCTAGGCATAGAAAGAATGTTATACTAAAATATTCCACCTATAGGCATTTTGGCTTGACCCAAAAGGAGTAAATTAGTCCTGGGCAATGAAGAGTGCTTTTCAAAGTTACTTCCCTCCCATGAGAAGCTGTGCTAATGTGCGAGACAGTCCCACACCCCTTTTCTGGCTCATTATAGACCAGCAAGTACACAGCTATGTGTGAGATGCCACAACCTCACAAAGCAGCTAGTGTCCAGTCTCAGGAAGTAATATACTCAGGAGTACACTGCATGGTAGTTAAAACTGGAGGTAAGCCATTAAAACTTCTTCTCGTGTAGGAAATTGGCTCAGCAATAGAGCGTTGCCTAGCATATACCCCGATCCCAAGCACTGCAAAGAAACAAACAGCAAAGATATTTCCTTACTTGCTAATGGTTCTTCATTTCCAGGATGGAAAGTTAGTGCCCATGACAGTTTTTCACAAAACAGATTCTGAGGACTTGCAGAGGAAGCCTCTCTTGGTGCATGTATATGGAGCATACGGAATGGATCTGAAGATGAATTTCAGGCCTGAAAGGCGGGTCTTGGTGGACGATGGATGGATCTTAGCATATTGCCATGTTAGGTAAGTCACCATGTTTCTCCTGGCACATGAGTGCTAGAACATTGTAGTGATTGCTGGAATAACAGTGTGCTAGGGGCCTGGACGTGGGGGTGAACAGTGTGCTAGAGGACCGGGCATGAGGGTGAACAGTATGCTAGGGGAGCAGGTAGGAGTGGACACCTTTGATTCCAGCACCCAGGAAGCAGAGACAGGTGGACCTCTGTTGAAGGCTATATAGTGAGACTTTATCTTAAAAAACCAGAACCAACAAGCAAAAAAGAAAGATAGGTAGGTAGGTAGATAGATAGATAGATAGATAGATAGATAGATAGATAGATGACAGACAGGCAGACAGATAAAAAGGAGCAGACACTGAGCTTCTTGACCCCGAGTGGTTTCAGGACTTGAGAGGGTGTAGGCAGGGTCTGCCTGCCCTTGATTAGTTCCATTAGTACTCCCACGTGAGTCTCCAGAATTCGGGATTCTTACCATTGTCATTATCATAAGATACCATTATCATTTCATTTCTGCTTAAAACCTTCTCCACCTCCCAATCTCCAGAACAAAGCTATATTTCTTAGTAACATTCTTGTGAACTGGCTTCTCTCTTTGGGATCCCCCGGTGCATGCCTTCAGATAGCATGCCCTGCCTCTGTCCCACGAGTGCTGTGTTTTGTCTGGGTCTTAGTTTCCCTCCCTTCAGAAACCACTTCCTTCACAACTCAGTGACAGGTCATTCCCCCATGCACTGGTACTCCTGACTCATGCGCCCTAGCCTCTTTCCTCTGCTCAGGTAAAGTTTACAGCAGCAGCCACGGCGCCTGGAGACTGTGGTTTGCTTTGCTCATGCCAGTGTGCACTTGTGAATTTAAGGTCTGCTCTCGAGAAGTCTGTAGTAAGTCATCAGTAGGCAGTCAAGCATATTTGTTGAATCAGTGTTTGGTTATCTTGACAGTTCCAGCTTTTTGGGTTGTTTTGGTTTGTTTTCCCATGATGGGCTACATGGTACTGGTTTAGGCTTTGCAGGCCAGTCACAGTCTCTGTGGGGATTCCTTCTTGCTGTTTTCTCTGAGCTGAGTGCCGCACACAAGCCTGTGACACACAAGCCTGTGACATAGTTTGCCGATGTCCACTGTGTCCTTTTTGTTTTCTTCACTACAGGGGTGGTGGTGAGCTGGGCCTCCAGTGGCATGCCGATGGCCGTCTAACTAAAAAGCTCAATGGCCTTGCTGACTTAGTGGCTTGCATTAAGACGCTTCATAGCCAGGGCTTTTCTCAGCCGAGCCTAACAACGCTGAGTGCCTTCAGTGCTGGAGGCGTGCTTGCAGGGGCCCTGTGTAATTCTAAGCCGGCGCTCCTGAGAGCTGTGACCCTGGAGGTAAGTACCACCCTGTGCCCCTGCTCAGAGGGGAAGATGGTGGACATTTAAACAGTGGCGGCTCTGGGAGGAGAGCTTGTGGGATTATCCCTGTCCCACTCTATCCTTCCCTGATAACCTTTATGGATTCTGCAGAATTGCCACTGAGAGACTAACAGCTGTTCTCGTGACCCTTTTCTGTTCGTCAGACATTTCAAAATGCATATATGTGCCAGGATTCCAGAAGTCTGGTGGAGTGTTCTGAAATCTCTGCACTGCCGTTGTCCAAGTAGACAGCCCAACCACAGCTAATTCTGGATGTAGGGAATAAGTCTCTAATTTTAGACACTGTTATTTTGTTTGTTTTATTTTTTGTTGTGTAGCAAGTAAGTCTGTTGACTTACACATTCACAGCCTCTAGCCTCAGCCCCCAGGATTTAAGTATGTGCCACCACGTCTGCTGTAGAGACTCCATTCTTGGTGGTCTTTTTGGTCCCGTCCTTTGATGAGCTCTCAGTTCTAGAAATGTCCTACAGTCTTTCCCTGCTCTCCAAAACTGTACAGCTTCTGGCTTCAAATCCATCTTCCCCTATCTCCTACCTAGATACTCTGGAAAATGACTGGGCGGTTCAGGGTGTGTGTGTGTGTGTGTGTGTGTGTGTGTGTGTGTGTGTGTGTGGAGCAAGAAGTAGTAAGTTAAATAAATATTAAATAACTTGATCTAGAAATCTTTTTTTAAAATATTCTTTATAAAAGAAATAAACCTTCCCACAAAGATAATAACAGAATCACTTACAATATAAAATGCAGCTAACAAATTTTAGAAATAACCACAAGTGCATGTGTAAGGATATTTAATTCAGTTGCTCCTTACAGTGAAGAATTAGGGGCAGCCTAAATATTCAACACAAATTGTTCACGTAGGAGTCAAACCAAAGCACTTCCTTTTTTAAGGTGCTCCCACACCTTCTGCCACAGTGACACCGATTCGCACTCTGGCCAACAGCGTGAAAGCAGAGCAGCTTCTCACCATCATCACCAACTGGAAAGTTTCTGATTATTGTGGGGTTGTTTTTAATATAGTAGCCATCATAATGAATGCAGAGCACAGTTGTTAATTTTGTATACGTAAAAATAGAAGAAAAGGCAAAAATTGTGAAATTACAGATAAATTCTTTGTTATATAAATGTCTGTGAGGAGTTTGAATGCTCTTAGGACATCTGTGAATTACCAGCTGAGCTGTCTTCATTCATACCTGGATGTGTGTTTATGCAAGAAGCTGTGTGTTTATGCAGGAAGCTGTTGTGCCGTTCACTTTACCCACCATTGAGTCAGTGCACAGATCTGGCGTTCTCTTCCTCTGACTAGGCACCTTTCTTGGATGTCCTCAACTCCATGATGGACACCACACTCCCTCTGACACTGGAAGAGTTGGAAGAGTGGGGGAACCCTTCCTCTGACGAGAAACACAGGAACTACATCAAACGCTACTGTCCCTGCCAGAACATCAAGCCTCAGGTAGGGGCCTCAGCTGCCTCACTGTCCTGAAGCAATGGAGACCGCTGGAAGGGCACTCACCGAGTTGAGGCGAGAGGTCGAGGGCTCTAAGGCTGCCTCTGCTTAGGATACCTGACCGTGTCATGTCTGCTTGTACTCCCTGTCCGCCTCAGTTTAACATCTCAGAGAGATGAGTGTTCTCATCCCTGAGCCAGTTTAACAAGATTAGATGAAGTCATGTCTCTCTGGACAGAAAAGGGCTGTCTCAGATAACAGGTAGCCTGGTACCATATTGCTGAGGCCCAGTCGAGAGCTTCCGATGAGAAACCTAGCACTTGGGGAAAGATGGAGTAACATGGCTGTACTTCTGTTCTCTTCCAGCATTACCCTTCAATTCACATCACAGCTTATGAAAACGATGAGCGAGTGCCACTGAAAGGAATCATAAACTACACAGGGAAACTCAAGGAAGCTGTCGCAGAGCACACCAAGGGAGCTGGGGAAGGTAGGAGGCTGCCCAACCAGGGACCCTGGCTAACAGGACTGCCCTCAGCCAACAGCATGCTCCATGGACAGACACCGTAATGCAGGACCAACTGTCCTACCCAAAGTCCGTGCAGCTAGAACTGCCTTGCCTCATTTAGGAACAATGTTAAAGCACGCAGGGGGACTCAAGGCGAGAAGGGAGTGTCGAATGTAACTTGTAAATCTACATGCAGAGTCGTTGGTGTAAGAGTCACTGAGACATCCTGTCACTCAGGAGTGAGTGTGAGACATCCTGTCACTCAGGAGTGAGTGCCCATTTATTTTTACTAAGTCAGACTTTTTCTGGGGCTGGAGAAATAGCAGTGCTCAAGAGCACTGGCTGCTCTTGCAGAAGACCCAGGTTCAGTTCCCAGTACCCACATGGTGGCCTATAACTGTAACTCCAGTGCTGGCCTTGTTCTTTGTTCCTTTGATGTTTGAGGAAAGTACTCAGTCTTCTGAAGATCTGATTGCTTTTATGTTAACTCTTCCAGGCTATCAGCCCCCCAGCATTGTTTTAGATATTCAGCCTGGAGGGAATCATGTGATTGAGGACTCTCACAAAAAGGTATGCTACCCATCTCCTGTGGCTGCAAAGTCCTCAACTATGGATGTGTTGTGTGCAAGGTTTTCAGTGGTTATGGCAGGGTTTCCGGGAGAGCTGCTTCCCTGATGTCGGGCCAGGAGAGTGAAGGAGGGGGAGGGGCCACTCTTCTCAAGGGCTGCTTGATGCTAAGGAGTCGCTGCCTCTCATTGTTAGATTAAAGACTTCAGGGTTAGCTTAGCTCAGATAAAGAAAGACTGGAAACACTGTGGTTCTGCTTGTCCTGTCTAACCCTCACATGCGTTTTCTTTTAGATCACAACCCAGATGAAATTCCTGTATGAGGAACTTGGACTTGACAGTACTAATGCTTTCGAGGCTCTGAAGAAATACTTAAAATTCTGAAATGCTGCATTCAGCTGGGGACTGGGAATGCGTGGAAATAATAATTAGGCTTATTTCCAGTTGGTTTAGCAAAAGTGAGATTTTTTTTAAGTTATATAATTTTTTAAAAGTTGTTTCTTTGTGTAATTGTGCTTAATGTATCCCTTGCTCATTCCAGCCGCACACGCCCCTTGGCCTGGGAGTCATTTCCAGCCATGCTCCTCAGTAGAACATAAGGAAGGGAGCCAGAAGGACTGGGCAGGAGAAGGCCAGGTCTCCCAATCAGTCTTTTAACAGAATTTTCTTTTAATAGAATTTTACAATTCAATATCCTTCCTCTTTGCTAGTGAATATTTTTAGGCACTGTGGCTGTGAGTCACCTAAAATGTCTACAACTCCACTTTAAAGAAAAGCATAGCATTCTTCATATTTAAATGCTTTAGTATTCTGGCATAATCTTTTAAACACTTTATTGTTCTTTCAAATATTTAAGAATCTTACCTAAAACAGTACATTTGTACTACAGAAATATCTGAGAATTGATGCCATTCATGAGGCCCCGTGCATACGTGATGTCAAAACATTGCATGTAGGGTGGCCATCCCTTAGGGAGCTTCCTAACACAAGCTATACAGAATGTCCAATACACTGGAGTAGCATGCACGACTAGAAACAAAACATTTGTCTCTGAAAGCTGCCTGGTGATGGAGGAGCATCTTCATACTGTGCTCCAAGATGAGCCCCTCTCCCTTCTCTAGAGAGACGGCATGTGTGTCAACATCACTGCCTTTGGAAGCTGAGTTGGTACTTAATCGTACTCTCAGTTTTGTAGGAAGATCTGAAATGATTTCCTGTAGATTTAGTACAGTTGATAATTCTCCAAAATTCAGAACCACAAGGAAGACTTTATCTATGCCATCCAGCTCTCGTGTGTACACAACAGAGTGACTGTTGTCCCTCAGCAGACAAAACCAGCCCCTGCTGAGAAGCAGCTCTCTGGCATGGAGTAGACTCAAATCCTGATAGAGCCTCAGGGCCGAGCTCGGCTGGCTCTTTTGGACCTGTTTTTCAAAAAGAATATTCACATAAATGTTTTACTTTAAGAATTATCCTCACCCCCACCCCCAGAAAAACCTTGCTTCTATCTGCCCTTTAAATGCCCAAATAAGTAAGTAACTGCCCAATCATAAAGCATTTATAAATAGTTTGTCCTAAAGTCATAGGAATTACAAATTGCAGTTTTCTGCGTGTCTGAGAATCATTTCAGTATGCACTGTGCTCCCACGTCTTAGAGCTACCATCACAGGACCTGGCTCTCATCTGTAAGGTGACCTGAAGGGCACTGTTGTGCAGAGGTCTTGGGGCCCAGCAAACGTGGATTTTCAGATACTGCAGAGCCTGAGGTGCAAGTTAGCAAATCTACATTTGCTTTCTTCCTGCCGGGCCATAAAAGATAATTTTGTCCACTGAAGACGTGGACTTATTTTACAGCTACACAAACCGACCTGACGTATGCTGCTCTTTCTTTTTCTCATAAGCACTTTCTGTTACCTTGTCCCCTAGGTGTCATTGTCCAGCACATAACACTCTGTGACCGGGGTCACCTTCCTTCTGTTCCCTCCCGTGTAAGCATTCACCTGTCTAGTATGCTTGTACATTGTCATTCCCGTCCTCCCTTTTACATTATTTATTTAAGATAGATTATCAGACAGATAATTCCTGTGTCAAAGGTATGCACATTCAATACATAATGCCAAATTATTCATAGCTGTTGCCAAATCAACAGTCTGTCTTTTGGGCGGGGCAGTTGTCGCCATTTTATTGTGATTCTTTTCCAGTAGATGCTTAGTAGATTCTTTTCTGGTAGATGCTTAGTGTCTTGTACTTAGTGACTGTCTCGTGGATGTTTAAAGATGTTCTTTCTGTTATCAGGCCCCAAGTGCTCCTGGTCCATGTGTGTGACCGTCTGTTGTTGCCCACTCTCAGTAGCCTAGCTAATGCATGAGGAACAGCTTAGTGCTGCTTGCACAAGGGCCTGGGACGCTGTTCTTTTCATCTCCGCTCATGTGAACTCTTTCTCTTTGCATTTCTCAAAGTACTTGTTGGATCTATCTAGAAGCATCAGTGAACATGCAGAAAGATTTGTGGGGTTTGGTGGACTCCTCAATGCTTTTCACTGTTTGAAAACTGCATTTCTCTCATACGCTGCTTTCGTATTGAATTCTATTTTGTCTGCTATTAAATATTTCCAAGCCTACTTCTGTAGTTTTATTTTTCTCTAGGAATGCATACATATAGTATAAACTTCAGTTGCAAGAAGCATATATTCAAGGCAATCATGAAATGATTTAGGTATCATGAAATGGTAACCCTGTGTCACTGAAAGAATCTATAGGTGTGTTTACATATGGTGCCATGGACCATCCTGTGCTGTATTTATTATATATGTTAAAAGTGTTCTCCATGGTGGCATATGCCTTTAATCCCAGCACTTGGGAGACAGAGGCACACAAATCTCTTGAGTTCAAAACCAGCCAGGTTTACAGAGTGAGTTCCAGGACAGCCAGAGCTACACAGAGAAACCCTGTCTTGAGAAACTAAAAAAAAATTTAAAAAAATAAAAATTAAAGAAAAAAGGTGCTCTCTTACCCATGCAGTCATTCTCTGCCTTGAGAGCTACATCTTAGTCCCATGATCTAATGATCTAGCTTTCTGTTGGACAGACACAGAGTCCTTGAGAGCTACATCTTAGTCCCA